AAGAATGAGAGAGAGGAGAGGGGGAGGAGAGAGAGAGAGAGAGAGAGAGAGAGGAGAGAGAAGAGAAGAGGAAGAGAGAGAGGACAAGGTATATATTTCAAGATGCCGTGACTTCGCACAGCATCAATATGCACTTATAATTATAAGCCATATGGCACTGGATTTTAAAGGCACAAGTTGGAAAATACGCGTCCAGTTACGCTCTTCGCAGGCCTCGATGGCGCAGTAGGCAGCGCGTGAGTCTCATAATCTCAAGGTCGTGAGTTCGATCCTCACTCGGGGGACGGTTTTGTTTGCAGCATCGCCCAATAAAAGAAATTCATTCATTTATTAAAGGTAGTGTGCCAGCTTTCCTGGACCGTATGGAGTTAATGGCCCAGATAAGGAGAACCGGATTTTTAGAACTATCCATACCTTCAAAACTCATGGAAACGTCTTAAATTCTTCAAATTTTGAGTACCCCAGTGCGAAATTCACCGACGGGTTGTCGGTCGTACCCAACCACATTTCACACCACTATGAACAATAAATGCACACACTGAAATCGCTATTACCGATATGCTCATCCAATCAAGTTTCGATAAACCCGTTCATCATCATCTCCTGCGGTTTCGAACACGCCTGTTAGGTGGTGCGGTAGACCGCGCCCAAAGCCAGGGCCCCGGTAACGTGAGGTAGCCGAGTCGGGGCAGCGTGCGCTGACCCAAGCCGGGGCCGCGCGTCCTCCCGGTGTCATGTGATAGCCCGGGGCTGCCCGCGGGGATGCGGTAGACCGCGCCCAAAGCTGCGGCCCCGGCTTGGGTCAGCGCACGCTGCCCCGACTCGGCTTCCTCACGTTACCGGGGCCCTGGCTTTGGGCGCGGCTTCTGCTCATACTTTGTGGTGCGGTGGTGGTGCGTCGGGCCGCGCGCTCTGACTTCGGCCAAGAAAAATGCGTCAGCTGATCATTGTCATTTCTGCCACTTGCGTGTGGTGAAATGGGGTCATAACTTAAGAGACGGCTTTTTCATATCAATTATTTTACATAAAATCATATTTCAAACCATTAATAATGTTCGACAGCCAAATAAAAGCAACAATACCAATACAGGCTTACAGTTTAAGGCTCGACATTGTGTTGTCTACGATTAGACAGCTGATAACTCATTCCCGTACGTCGTAACTCTATAATGACCTTTGCTTATTGTCACATGTGCGCCGCATTCGCGATTGTTGCCGACGCCTGTTTGCAGGTCAGCCCACTACAGTTGTTATACATATCGAAAAACCGATAAACTTTTAGGCGAAAAAGGCACTATTCCAGGCCCATTTTTGATTTTTTTGCGATATTAGGTAAAAACAGAAGCTAATTATCCTAGGAAAAATAAAATGGGAAATCTTTCAAAGGTGGCACACTACCTTTAATTCATTTATTGTCTGCATTATGATCTCCATAACAAATCAAAAATCCTACAGGATTTGTACCAAAATCCTGTACGTTCCTACAGGGTCGTGCAGGGTTCCTGGAGTAGCCGTACAGGATTTCATGCAGGCAAATATGGCTGTACATGGAATCCTACAGGGTGCCCTGCACGACATCCAACAGGGGACCCTGTACTGAATCCTACAAGGAGCCCTGTGCGCAGTCATACAGGGAGCCCTGTGCGCACTGCGCAGTCATACAGGGAGCCATGTACGCACCCATGTGAAAAGTCTTATAAGATTTTACCAGAATTTTCACTATCTTGCATGATCTTATAAGATTTTGAAGACAGTCTTGCAAGCTTGTACAAGATTGGCCAATATCATACAGATCTTATAAGAATCTGGCATAGGCAGATTCTTGCGAGAATGCTGATTCTGGTAAGATTGAAGAATCTTACAAGAATGTGTTGTTCCCATGGAAGGCTACTCCAGCTAATCGTTTTTCGCATAAATCATAATTAAAGAGCTCGCTTAACTCTCAAGCAAATGCGATCATGTGCTCCACACGGACTACGTGGAGAACAGTTGTAAACGATGCACCTGTCAAGTAAAGTATGAGGAGTACCTACCTAGGGAGAAATGCCTCGCCCCGGTGGGTTGATGTGTTGGACAATGGACATTTTTCTCAATCTGCAACCTACCGGGATGTATTCATCTCCTCAGGACGGTACTGCTCATTATTAGAACTGGCGGGGACATAGACATTCGAATGTTGTTGTCAATATTGTCCCGATATATAGGGAATTACGAATTGTGAATTGATTCCTATAAAAGAATCGATTCACTTCATAACTCCCTAATCCCTTCATAACATTATCATCTTAATTTGACGCGTTGCTGTACTGTGTTATTCGGGGACTAACTTGTGTGCATTTGTGCGCTGTGGTGATCTTTTAGAGACTGTACCGACTGGAATTTAGCAACCACTGTCCGTTTTAGAGACCGTTATATTACGGTCGGCGGCGGGCGTCCCGATCCTCGCCTGGGGCGGAGAGGGGAGCGCGCGTCCCCCTCCGCCGCATTCCGTCCGTCCCATTCACTGCCCGCTCGCGATGTGCGGAGAGCCGTGTCGAGTGTGTGCCGTGCGGTGTCGTCTGACGTCTCCTCTTCCGACCTGAAGGTAAGTTTCTGCCATGCTGTATTGCTGTGTAACAATAAGAAAATTGTTCTCAATATTTGCAGCATTACAGACAAAAAAAAAAAATGGCGCCGAAACGTTCACTAAAAAATAGCTGATCGAAAAAATAGCTGACAAAATAGACATTTAAATGTCTACTATCAGATACCAGGGCGTATTTAGAAAATCGCGAAGGGGGGGGGGGGGCAAGGGTTTGGAGGGCGCCACCTCACCCAAGGAGGGCGCCATACGGTCGCGAGATAAAAAATCGCTCAGCGGGGTGGGGGGTGGGGGGGGGGGTTGGGAGGCGTTTTTTACCATGCCACCAGTTTTTTTTTGCGTAACCTCGTATAGGTCGTGCTGCATTGATTTTGCATCGTGTGGATTCTTTATACTCCAGGTCACAAAAGGTCAAGTGTTCTTGAAATGCTGCGCCGAAGGCGCGCGAAATTTTTGAAAACAACCTTTTCCTCCGCTTTTTAGGCACGCCTTTTATACGATCACCGTTCAAAGCTCCTCTCGCTCTTTTACCAAATTTGAAGGTGTAAAAAATACCTAAGGTTTGGTCGGGCCGCTGCCACACAAACTGTATAGAAAGCTTGGCTCATGGGTGTCGATGTATAAAAGTTTATTGGCGGTGGCATATCTACGCACCAGATCACCGTATCGGATTGATACCGGAGCGCGAGATGCGTAAACATCATCCAAATTACCTCAGACCAGCCTTCATAGCCTTCTCACCGATGCATACACTGAGAGCTGTTTTGATTCCTTTTAAGCATATTAGGGGAATTGGTCTAAAACAACACCCTGATCATTTCTCCGAATATACCCCAAATACAATTTCTTTGAATATCACTCTGAAATTCTTCTAATATACCCTACACTGAGAACCTTTTTAATTCCTTTTGAGCATATTAGGGGTTTTGGTCTAAAACAACACCCTGATCATTTCTTCGAATATACCCAAACTATGCCCTTGTTCTTTAAATAGCTCCCTTGAATTCTTCTAATATACCCTAGTAAGTACCGAAGAGGAAAGGAATATGATTCCTGTTCTATTCCCTGCGATACCCACAGTACACTCCTTTTAACCTACCAAAATACCCTTACATCGAAACCTCTAGTATTCCTTCTAAGCGTATAAGGGGAATATTTTGTAAACTATACTCGCATTATACCACGTAACACTCCCGTATTATTCTGTGATTTCCATCACTGATCTCAATGTATTCTTGCATTAGACCCCACATAAACCCAGAAGGGAAAATAATAATGCCCTAGGTATATTCGTCGTAGAACTTGCTCAGAAACTGTCTCATTACTCTCAGCTCCCTCGTCCGATTTCCCTTTATATATCGTAACACATCCAAAACGAGGGTTAAGGTTCTATCACCAGCAGGGCGCGTATAGGCTGAATAGCCCATGGCGGGGCGCGGGTAAGTGGTCAGCAACACGTCCAGGGAGCGACTGCCCGTCCTCCTCGCCCGCCCGGCCGGCCAGTCCCGGCCCGCCGACCGGTCACCGCCGGAGGCGCCGAGCGGCACAGGTACGGTATCTGACAGTAGCGGCAGAGACTGTACACTAGGGTATATTAGAAGAATTCAAGGGAGGAATTTAAAGAATGAGGGTATAGTTTGGGTATGTTCGAAGAAAATGATCAGGGTGTTGTTTTAGACCAAAACCCCTGATATGCTTAAAAGGAATCATTTGAGGAATCATTTGAGTATCTTAAGGGCATTCCGCCAGGAAAACGGCAGAGTTATAGGAGCATGACACACCATGATCAAAGGGAATAGAGAATCGTTTTGGTTTTCAGTGTACAGTGTACCCACATAACCAGTTTCAATCACCGAAACTTCAGATGCCTGCTGTTGCGGCCGAACCTGTTGACAATACTTAATCGTAATCCACATAGATGCCATGATGCACGTAAAGTAGGATCAATCCGTTAACCCGCGCCCCACTGGGGTCTGTGTATAACACGCCCTACTGGGGGGGGGGGGCTATTCATAGCCCCCCCTCCTAACTCCGAAACTACTGGGCCGATCGTCAAAATTCAAACGGCGTCTGATAGCCCCGGAAAAACTGTCGAGCGAAACCTAATTTCATTGACCTCGAGGTCACCGATGACGTCACAGGTCAGGTCAAAAAAAAATTATTAGCACTTTGGCTTGTTCACATTTTGGGCTCTGGCCGCCGGCTTACAAGTCAGATCAGGCTCATTTTTGGTTTCCACACTCGTGAACAGATGCTCTAGATACCTTGAGGGTACCAAACTTGTACTTTGATTTTCAGGTCAGGGTCAGGTCATCACAGGTCACGAAAATATTATATCATGCGTCGGTCACGTGACACATGTTTTATGGTCCATTTAGACCATAGATTTCGAATTTGATGTCGTCTGTGTCATTCAAGGTCATTTTGAGTCGAAATTAGCTTAGGTCAGGTCACTTTCAGGTCAAAAAAGGTCAAATTTTGAAGTTGAAATTTTTCAACAAAAAAGGTGTCTATTGGATGCAGTTTGAGCTCAGGAACACGATGGTGCCATTTATATTGGTGTACGATGCCAAATACGTACTGAAAAATTGATTTGAAAAATTAATAATTGTGAATTTTTTGCAATAATGCGTATAACTTGGCCATTTTTGAAGATATTTAGCTAAAACTTGCTAGAGTTAGTCATAATCATGCGTTCTGTCACA